CACACTTTGGTTGTGCAACCAATCTGCAGAATTCTTTTCTCTTGCAAAATTGAACATTTTAAGCCACTTTTACGTGTACAGTTTGGTTGCATTAAATATATTCACATTGTTGTGCAACCATAACCACTGTCCCCGTCTGGAACTTATTCATCTTCCCAAACAGAAACTCTGTCCCCAGTAAACGCGGGCTCCCCAGAGCCCTCCTCCCTCCCCAGGCCCTGGTACCCTCTGTTCGAGTACTTTCTGTTCTGTGGATCTGCCTACTCCAGGGTCCCCATAAGAGCAGGATCACACAACATTCGCCCTTGTGTGCCTGGCGTCTTTCTCTCAGCATGTTTTCAATTTCATCCGTGTGGAGACCTGGATCTGTCAGAACTGCATTCCCCGCAAACACTGTGGTGGGAATCATTTTGCAAAAGACAGAATGGGGCCAAAGTAGGTTTACAGTTATGAGCATATGAAATAGAGTTTATTCTTGTATTATCATTTATTTATTATTAGTTTCCACATGAACAACTATAAATGTACTTTTGCCCCACGCTGTATAAGTGTATCAAGTCAACACATTGTACACCTTAAACTTACACATTCTATGTCAATGATATCTCAATAAAGCTGGGAAAAAAATAAATAATTTCCTTCCTTTTTAAGGCGGAGTGATATTCCCTTGAATGATAAATGCCTTTGGTTTATTCATCCATCAGTCTACGGATATTTGGGCTGTTTGTGCCTTTTGGCTCTTACAGCTAATGCTGCTGTGAACATGGTATCCGATCTATCTGGGTCCCTGCTCAGTTCTTAGGGGTCTGCATTTAGAAGTGGAGTTGCTGGATCACACAGTAATTCTAAGGGAAACTTTCTGAGGAATTGCCAAACTGTTTTAATTATTTCTTTCATTTTTTGTTGACAATTGCATAAATCATAAATGTACAGTTTATTAAACCATCTCAAACCAGCACCCCTATGTAAATTCTCATCCATATAAAAATTATGACCAGCTCTCTAGATGGTCCCTGTGTTCCCTTTCAGTCACATAGATTAGTTTTGTCCATTCTGGAACTTTATATAAATAAAATCGTATTTTATTTATTCTTCTATAAATTAGATTTATTTATTCTCATGTTCTTTCATTTGTACTGTGTGATATTCATGCACGTTGTTGTCCATAGCAGTAGCTCATGGTTGTGTAAATATACAACCATTTATTTATCTGTTCTGCTATTAATGGCTGTTTGGGTTGTTTCCAGTTTGGGGCCATACTGAATAGGGCTTCTATGAATATTACTTACGTGTCTTTTGGTACACGAGCATACAGATTCCTGTTGGGTATAGACCTGTCGTTAGGTCATAGGGTTTGTATACATTCAACTTCATGCAGATACCAACAGTTTTCCAGGGTGGCTGAATCCATGCCTGGCACTCCGATGAGCAACGGATGAGAGTTCACGTTGCTCTGCAATCCCTGATGACATTTGGTGTCACCAGCCTTTAAAATGCTTGCCATCAGGGTGTGGGTGACTGTGTAGTGGTATCTCGCTGGGGTTTTAATTTTCGTTTCTTTTGTCATTAAAGAGGTTAACCTTCTCAGATGTTAAGATGTTATGGATATCTTCTCTTGTAAGTGCCTCAAATCTTTGCCTTTTTGTCTATGAGCCGTTGGATGTTTTTCTTATTGATTTGTAAGAGCTCTTTATATATTTCTGGACATGAGTCCTTTGTTGGTTATGCGTATTGAAAATATCTTCTCCCACTCTTGGGCTTGACTTTTCACTTGGTATGGTGTGTTTTGATGAACTAAAGTTTCTAATTTTAATGTTGTTCAAGTAATCTTTTTCTTTACATCTTATTTAAGATATTCTTGCCTATCTTCCCATTTATTGACGTCTGTCATTTTTCTCAATAATCTTTTATTAGAATTATCTGAGGCCATTTGATGCTTTCTGATGCTACTGTAAATGATATAATCTTTTAAAAATAGACTTATTATTTTAAAATAGTTTCAGATTAACATAAAATTTACAAAGTTAGTGCAGATCGTTCCTATGGTAGTTTTTAAATTAAAATAAATTTCACTGTATAATTGCCTGTTGTTGTTATATAAATATATAATTGCATTTTCTATATTGTCCTTATATATCAACTTTGTATACTTATTAATTGTAATTATTTATCTACTGATCTTTTTTGATTTTCTATGTACCTAATTATGTCATCTGTGAACAAGACAGTTTTATTTCTTCCTTTTGAATCCCTAAAACTTTCCCCCTTTAATGCACTGACTTGAACCTCCAAGAAAATGTTAATATAAATCATGGTAGCAAGATCCTAATCTCTTTCCCAGTCTCAGAGGAAAACTTGCAATATTCCACCATTAAATATGATGTTTGCTATATCATTTTTTGGTAGATGTTTTTTATCAAATTAAACATTTCTGCTATTGCCCTGGCCAGTGTGGCTCACTTGGTTGGAGCGCTGTGCCATAAACCAAAAGGTTGCAGGTTTTATTCCCGGTCAAGTCACATGTGGGTTTGGTCCTGGCTGGGTTGCTTATGAGAGGCAATTGATGCTTCTCTCCCTCCCTTCCCCTCTCTCTAAATCAGTGGGTGTATCCTTGGCTGAGGATTAAAAAAAAAAGTCTGCTCTTTTCCATAGCTAAGAATTTTCCTTAAAAATCATAATTGGATTTTGATTTTCTCTTTGGGGTGGTAAATTTTATCAATTACTTTTTCTGCCTATGTTAAAATGCTTTCAGTATGTTTTTATCCTTTATTTTTGTTACATTCATTTTCAAATGTTAAACCAACCTTGCATTCCCAGGGCAAACCAAACCTCTGGTGATACATTATCCCGTTGATATATGCCTGCTTTGGGGCTTCTGATGCTTTCAAAGAAATTCTAAAAAAATAAAATAAAATAAAATAAAATAAAATAAAACATTTTCCAGCATTTCTAGTTTTCTTAGTGGAAAGTTTGGTGTAAAATAAGCTAGACTGCCTTTGCTGAAGTGGAAAAACCATAGATATTTTAAATATTGGTGTATTTGTTGGTTGTGTCTTTCTTTTCACTTTAGATCAATATTATAGAGGTGTGTGTGGCCACAAAGCTCAGGACTCCACACTTCTGCTGTGGAGGTTCCCCGGCAAGCCAGGCTGTGACCCAGGCTGATTTTGTTTCCAGCAATGCACATTCCTGGGGTGTATGTCCCGCCCACTCCAGGCAGATGGACCACACTGGGCCTGTGACCCCTTTTCCCCATGGCTGTAGACACTTTTCAGGTCACTGGGTTGCTGCTCCAGTCCAACCAGCCGACTCTGGTTATACCATTGGGGCCATTAGGAGCTCAGAGAAGTGGGTGTTTCGTCTTGAAGGGTGTTTGCCGGTTTCTGTCCTGAAGGAGCCAGTCTGCAGATGCCACTCGTCTTGGTCCCCACCACTCAGACTGGTAATCCTTGGACCTGGTTCTGAAGAATAATGTGGACAGGAGAAGGAGATTCAAGTAGAATCTGCAGATGTTTTGTGATTACTTCTGGTGATTGTTTGGGAGCTGATGGCCACTGTCCAAAGATACCGGGAGTCAGAGGAAACCACCGCGGCCCAGGTAGAAGAGCTATCTGGGCATATCTTTAACAAGGATCCACCTGATGCCTCAGTAATGGAGACACCGCCAGACACCACCTCAGTATGGTCTTATATTAAACCTGGACATCTTTGACTCTTTGGGCCTTTTTAAGGTCTCAAGCATTTTTATTTTCTAAAAATTTTATTTATTTATTTTTAGAAAAGGGGAAGGAAGGGACAGAGGAAGAGAAACACTGATGTGTGAGAGGTACATTGATCGGTGGCCTCTTGCATACCTCCAACCAGGGACCTGGCCCGCAACTCAGGTGTGTGCCCTGACTGGGAATCAAACCAGCAACCCTTTGGTTCACAGGCTGGCACTCAATCCACTGAGCCACACCAGCCAGGACTCAAGCATTTTTAAATAGAAAGAAATTCTGGCTTTAAAAACTTAAAAAAAAAAAAAAGAGCTCAGAGAAGTGCGTGGGATTTGTGTATTTTCCTGGTAGATAGGCTGCTGTCCACCTTGTTTCTCTGTAGTCCCCTTCATTCCTGGTATCTTTCTTTTTTGAAAATTTTTATTTATTGGTTTTCGCGGGGGAGAGAAAGAGAGGTTGATTTGTTGTTCCACTTATTGTTGCATTGGTTGATTCTTATATGTGCCCTGCCTGACTGGGGACTGAACCTACAACCTTGGCATATCAGGACAATGCTACAACCAATGGAGCTACCTGGCCAGAGCCCCTGGTGTGCTTCTTGGCATAGCTCACTTGTTACTGTGTTTTTAGAAATCTAAACCTAATTATCAGCAACTCACGATTTAATTTACCTTGGTGGTTCCCTATGTTCTTGTGATAAGCTGAATAAATAAGCTTTCCCATGCTGCCCCAAAGACCACATCCTAATCTCCAGAACCTGGGAAGGGTTAGAAAGTGGCCTACGGAAAGGATCTTGAGATGGGGAAGTTATTCTGGATTATCTGGGTGGGTCCTTAATGTAATCACAAGGACCCTGACCAGAGGGAGGCAAGAAGACCGATGGATAAAGTAGAAGGTGTGATAAGCAAGAGGCTGCGTGACTGGAGGAATAGGTAGTGAGCCCAGGGGCGTAGGTGCCCCAGAGCTGAGGAAGACACGGGGACAGATTCTCCCCTAGAGCCCCCAGAAGGAACCAGCCCTGCCCACACCCGACTGCAGCCCCGTGAGACTGATTTTTAGATTTCTGATTTTCATGTCTGTAAGAAAACAGACTGTGTTGTTTTAAGCACTGAGTTTGTGGCAATTTATTACAGTGGCAACAGGGAATTAATACAGTCCTCCACTTGCATAACCAGGCAAGAGTTAGGGCTCAGTACAGATTTGGAATTTCTTATTGACCAAGGAAGGGTGGAGCTGAAAGACACACAACCTGCCCCACAGAAGTACACCAGGGGTGGAGTACGTAAGGAGGATATAAGCCAGGCTCTGGTCTACTGCAAGCAGCAGGGACAGCCAGCAGGAGATACAAATGCAGCTTGCAGTTCTGACAGCGGGCCGCCCTTTGGTGAGTTTGCACAGAGAAGGGTTGTGGGATGTTGACGGCAGGTGGAGCGGGACATATTTTTAGGGGTTTGGTTATTTTGCTAATACCTAAACTAATAGCAGAGAAGAGAATTTCCACCTGGGGTGTGAACTGGGTGTTTTTGATGCGGTTACTGGGAAAGGGGTAGGTGTGAAGGAGTCCCCTACGAGACTGGGGAATCGTCATTGCCAAGGAGGCTGGTGAGAGGAAGCGCGGCGTCCTTGCTGACGTGGGGCTGATACGGCTGAATAGTCTGCAAGTTATTTAATGTGACAATTCAGTTATGCTAATGCTTCACGTACATGGACAAAACTGAAAGTCAGAAAGGGTATAACAATTTTTTGAGTAGTCAGAAAGGATGTTTCTGGGTTTGTGTATGTACTTTGGTTTTATTTATTTATTTTAATTTTTAAAATTTAATTACACTTATTGGGGTAACATTGGTTAATAACATCATATAAATTCCAGGTGTCCAGTTCTACAACACAACATCTATACGCTGCATTGTGTGCTCACCGCCCAGAATCTGGCCTCCTTATGTCAAATATGCGCCCCCTTTAACCCCCCCCTCCCCCTCTGGTCACCATTATACTATTGTCTGTGTCTATGAGTGAGTGTGTTTTGTTAGTTTGTTGTTTTTAGTTTTATAGCCCACCGTAGGAGTTAAATCACATGGTTCTTGTCCTTTTCCATCTGATTTATTTTGTTTAGCATGATACTCTCAAGCTCCATCCATGTTGCTGCAAATGGCAATATTTCATCATACCTATGGCTGAGTAGTGTCCTGTTGCGTATATGGACCACTTTATCCAGTCATCCATTGAAGGGTGCTTAGGTTGTTTCCATGTCTTAGCTGCTGTGCCTAATGCTGCAATGAACACAGGGGTATATATGTGTTTCTTTACTAATAATTTTTTGGGGGTATATACTCAGAAAAGGGATTTCTGGGTCATATGGTAGCTCTATTCTTAATTTTTTGAGAAACCTTCATACTGTTTCCCTAGGGACTGTACCACTTTACAGCCCACTAGCAAAGTATGAGGGTTCCCTTTTCTCCACGTCCTCTTCAACCCTTGTAATTTCTTGTCTTCTTCTTTTTAATCCTCACCTGACAATATTCATGTTCATTTATTGACGATGGCGGGGGGAGCCAGAGTCCTGTGTGTTGTTCCACCCATCCATGCATTTACCGAATGTGGGTTCGATTCCTGGCCAGGCGCATACCTAGGCTGCGGGTTTGATCCTGGCTCAGGGTGCATATGGGAGGCAACTGATCAATGTTTCTTTCATACATGGATGTTTCTCTCCCACATCAATGTTCCTCTCTCTCCCCTCCCTCCCCCTTCCCTGAAATCAATGAACATGTCCTCAGGTGAGGATTAAAAAAAAATTGATCAAAGGGAAACATTATAATAATTACACCAAAGTAAAATTTGTCTTTTAAATGAGAAATTCCATGCTAAATGGCCTAGATTTAATGTTTCAGATGACATCTCTGAAGCCACAATCTTTTATTAAATGCTTTTACCCAATTTAACCTTTGTTATAATTAAGCATTTAATACCCTATTCTGAAAGAGTTACAATTTCCACTTCTCTTTCAATCACCTTACTCATGGATTTGCAACCTTCTTTTGTTTGTTTCAAGTAGAAGGGTTCCTTTAAATATTTCTTGTAATGCAGGTTTTGTGGTGGTAAATTCCCTCAGCTTTTGTTTGTCTGGAAAAGGCTTTACTTCTTCATATCTAAAGAATAACTTCACTGGATATATTATTCTTGACTAGTGATTTCTCTCTTTTAATATTTCTGAGTATTGGATCCATTCTCCCTTAGCTTGTATTCTGCTGAAAAGTCTGATGCTTCTCTAATGGGGTTTTCTTTATAGGACACAATCATTTTACCCTCCTTGCCTTGAGAATTCTTTCTTTGTCATTAACTTTTGACAGCTTTAATATAATGTGTCTTGAAGAAGGTTTTTTTGCATTGAGGTCATTAGTTGTTCTGTTAGCTTTATGGGTTTGAGGATCCAGCTCTTCCCACAGGCTTGGGAAGCTCTCATTGATTATTTGTTTGAAAAGACTTGTTCTTGTCTTCTCCTCTGGTAGACCCATTGTTCTTACATTGCTCTTTCTAATGAAGTCAGGGGGTTCTCATAGATGTCTTTCTAGATTTCTATCTTCAAGATCACGAATTTTTTCCTCCATCTAGTCTGCTCTATTTCCTAAGCTCTCTAATTCACTCTTCGTCTCATTTATTGAGCTCTTTAGTTCCAGAACTGCTGTTTGGCCCTTCTTCATTATCCTTGGTAAAGCACTCCTTTTGTTGGCTGATGTGACGCCTGAGCCCACTGAACTGCCTTTCTGAGTTCTCTTGTACCTTGCCGACTTTTTTCAGAAGAGTGACCTTGAACCCTCGGTCATTTAAGTCACAGTCTTTCACGCCTTTGAGTTTCCTTTCTGGGGATTTCAGTTTTCTTTCTGAGCTACCTTATTATGTTGGTTATTCATACTATTCCATGGATTATTATCTGCCTGGTCATTTGAGGGACTGATACCTTCCCTTTTAAGTACTGTTTTTGGCTTTTAACAATTTGGCAGGCTGATAAATAGAGGTAAGCAGAGGTCTTTCCTTTACTTTCCAGTAAGTGGTGGTATCGCACAGGTTTTTGTTGTCTCTCACTTGCCCTCCTGGGGCTTGGGAGGTCTCGGGGGGCACTATTGCCTTGGCTGTTGAAATTGCCCCACATTCCCCAGAGAGGCAGGCGTTCCCTGTAGGGCAGGAGCGCCTGGGTCTCAGGGCACCAACCCCGTGGGATGTGGGGGGCACGGGGCTCTGAGCCTGTGCATTCCTGCACTGTCCCCCTGCAACCAGAAGCTGCCAGTGGTGCTCAACTGGGGTGCCCCAGGTCCTTCTGTTGGGTTCTGTACAGTGGGTGGGAGGTGGGCTCCTGCATCTGTGACTTTGTTTATTCCACTGACGAGATGTGTACTGGCCACTCAGGCGAGAATGGTGTTTCCGCCCCTTTGCCACCTGCAGAGTGAGGGCTGTAACCCATAACCCAGCACCTGCACCCAGCACAGCGGCCGCACCTTGGAACTGCACCTCTGCCCCATCACTGTGCCCTGCCGTGATGTGTACTAGCCTCCGAGGCCACCGTGCTGCCTCTGGCCCTCCTGTCCCCTCCAGTCCCCTCTGAGCTGTTGTGTGAGGGAGCGCTGCAAGCTCACCCTCGCGGCTACCGGCTCTGCTAGTGCCAGGCTGCGCCTGTGGCTCCCCCTCTGTCCTTCCCCGTCCCCTTCCTCTGTGCACTCCCATACACCCACCTCCAGGTGGCTTCACGCATGGCTCTCCCAGACGAGTGTGTGTGCTGAGCAGGGAATTCTTTGTTGGACTGCAGTTGTCCAACTTGTTGTAACTTTGAGGGGGAGACCAGGAAGCCTTCTCACATCATCATGCTGCCGCCGCCACTCCCGTGCTTAGGTTTTGGCAAAGCCTCTGGGCTCTCGGTTCCAGCTCTACCCATCTTCTTGTGCACACAGTTCTACACAGTGTAGTCATCTGCCTTCTGGCCAGACAGGTAACAGTATAGCAAATCAGAAGCCAGGAGGTGGGGGAAGCAAACAGACAACTCCATGTGGCAACAGCGGGCAGCCTGTGTTAGCAATGCGAGCTATTAAAAATGAACGTGCACCTGCTGCCCTGCCCCGCCCCAGGCCCCTCCCATCTCCCTGTAACCCACCAGCTAAACGGTTAGCTAACTGCTGGCACGGCAGGGGCTTCTGGGCCGCGCTGCAGCACCAGACTCCCGTCTGCCTGGCCGGCCATGGGTGTTAGTAATCTGGATATCACCTAGGAACAGAGGCATACCCTGCTTCAATAACTGAGGAGGCCAGCTCATTTCCCCTGCCCACAATATCAGATGGAAGAAATGAAAAAACCACAGTTAGGGGGCATTTTATGTGGGGAGAACAGCCATCTATTTAGTTACAGGCCCTCTGGGTATCAATATATTACAAAGCAGGCTAATAATTAACTTTCATGTTGATGGCCCTTGGTCATTAAGAAACGTTTGATTACATTCAGCTTTATCTTTTTTTTAAGAAAGCAGGGAAGAGTGTGATATGTTTTAGAAGTTTTAATCTGAAATGGACAAAATGTCTTGCTGCTTATATAGAATTGAGCCTTTAACCATCTAGAAAACCCACGTGTCCAGAATGACTCATTCTTCCTGATTCCAGAGCTGAAACTCCTGCATAAAACAGAACATCCTGTCTGTTATTCTTTGTAGCCAAAATGTCCGTACACTTCTGCAGGCAGATTCATCTTTCTGTGCCAGTTCTGTATAAACCTGCGCACTGGCTCACCTGGGCGGAGGGTGTCTCCATGTTCACCTGGGATTATAACCCCTTCTGGCTCACCTGGACCGACATGGCTCCCTGCAGGCCTGGGCTGGTCACCCCCCCTGCTCACCTGGGCTGGCCACCCCCCCTGCTCACCTGGGCTGGCCACCCCCCCTGCTCACCTGGGCTGGCCACCCCCCCTGCTCACCTGGGCTGGCCACCCTCCCTGCTCACCTGCGTTAACCATGCTTCCCTGCTCAGCGGGGCTCTCAGTACTTCCCTATTTATCTTGGCTGATGGTGCTTCCCCGCTCACCTGGACTGAACACACCTCCCTGTTCTCATCTTTTTCTTTGCTTCAATGGACCTCTGCCACGGAGCTGTGGCACCACCAAGAAAGAACAAAAGCTCTTTTCTTGTTGGTGACATTATGTTGTGATGAAAATAGCATAGCTGTCAACCCATCTCACAGATGGTGCTTCAAACTGGGCCCTGGAAGAAAACAGGCGTTTAGTCTAAGACACCCCCGAGATGGGCTAGAGGTGTGGTTAGATGAAGGCAGAAGCAAGTCTAACGTGACACCCTAAAAACACAAGACATAAAACTCAAAATGAAACAACGGGCTTCACAAGTACAAGGAAAGTCATGTTCAAAGTTGATGGAAAGTTTTAGGGGTGAAGAAGACAGTGAGGAAGACAGGCAACAAAAGTGACCTGGCTTGACCCTGTGGGTTACGTCACAGGAGTAAGCTGCCCAGGGGTGGGGGGGGCGCCCTCTTTCTTTAGCCATGTTTCTTCACTGGAGACGGGTCTTATACTTTATGGGCCTGGCTGGTCTGATGGCTTAATTAACTTAATTGCTCACCCTAACCACCTATTATCAACAGCAGCCAGCTGCACAGGTTACCAGCCAGCTCAGACTCTTGCCTGAGCCAAGGTGCGGCGATCCCAGGGCGCAGCCTCAGGCCTGGCGCGTGAACGTGCTGCCGTAGGGCTCCATGGTGGGGCTGCCGAAAGGACAGACTGACAAAGGGACCCTTGCACTTGCTGTGAGGACTTGGTGGGACAATAAGACACCAGGGCTCCCCAGTCATCCCGGAGTGAGACAGCAAGGCAGCAGGACACTGTGGGGCGCGGGGGCAGGGGGCCACCGGTGGCGGGACACGTCCTCTCCTCCTGGCCCTGGCCCTGGCACGGGGGGCCCAGGTCCTGGAGCCCCTTTTCTCCGAGCTTCTCCCCAGTGTCTGTTCACGCCAGGGCCGCTCCTTCCACCGCTCTGCGCAGCTGGGCTGCGCGCTCGCTGACTCAGAGCTCCTTCTCTCTCCAGCCTCCCTCCTCGGTGGATCCGAACTCCCGGCCTCCCCCACGTCCTGATTTTGCAGGTCTAGCTCCCTAATTCTGACTCTGGATCCCCAGAAAAAAAATCAGTCGGCTCAGCTTGTGTTTTCCTGCCAGTTGGAAATCAGGGGTCCCTGGCCTGCCTGAAGGTCACTGCCCATCCTTGCTGTCCTCAGCAGAGGTGGGGGTTGCATGGGATCTACAAGGTGGCCCTTCAGCAGGGCTGGGCCCAGCAGGCAGGGTGTGACTCACTGGCAAAGCTGCAGAGCGGGTCTCTCATGACTGAAAGTGGGGGAAAGCGCTCCATGAGCTGGAGGGGGGGTCCTTCATTTTTGCCTCTAGCTCCCTCACTAACAGGCTGGGTGACAATGGTAAATCACGTCCTTTCTCCACAGAATGAGGGGCCTGAAGAGACGAAAATGCCATTTGCCATAGCCTCGCCACTGCCCTGAGTACGACACACAAATTTGTTGTTAATCCCCAGGAGGGAGGTACCTGAACAAGTCCTATTAGACATGGGAAAACTGAGGCACAGAGCAGTTGAGTATCTGGCCAAAAGTCAAACAGCTCGTAAGTGGCGGAGCAGGGATTTGAACACCATCCACCTGGCTTCGGAACCCTTGCCCTGCCCCATGCTGAGCTCACGGCCGTGTTATCATGCTAGCACCCCTCGGGCTCCAGGGGCAAGTCTGCCAGGACATAAATGAGACAGGGGCTCAGCTCTGTTCTCCAGAGAGGGCAGCCCGTTGCTCTGGCCAGGGCGGCAGGCACCCTACAGGGACGCTGCTGCCCTCTGCCTGTGCCCTCTCTGCAGGGCATCTAAAATGCTAGCCTGTCAGCGGACATCAACTCAAAAGCCTCTCCTTCAGCTAAATTCAAGGGCTGCGCGCCCACGCGGATGCAGGAAGGTTAGACAATCCACTAATGTGACATGTTCGATGGGTTGGGAGGTGACAGAGCTCATCACAGCTATTGGAACACGTGTGTTTCATGGGGAAACACAGGCGCGCACACCAGCTCGGTGGCCTGGATGCACACCTGGGACGCGGTTCCTGAGCCGGGGCCTTGGGGTCAGTCGCTGCGTTCAGGGCGAGGATGAGAACGCAGTGCCTGGCCCCAGAGAGGAGTCTCCCCACCACACCGACAGGGCAGGGGGTGGGGACAGGCGCTCCCCAGGGTGCCTGGCAGAGGCCTGCAGGGGTGGCTGCTGGGACAAACGGAAAATACCAGGTGGGATCTGGCAAGGGTTTTCAGGCCCTGCAATGCCCCCTGCCAGCCCCGGGGTGTGGCTCGTCAGGAGCACAGGTGCAGGCGCGCTCCTGCGCCAGGAGCGCCTCCCACCTGCTTCTCTGTGCCCTGAGCCTTTCTCCCTGGGTCTCCCTGTCCACAAAGGCTGCCCTGTGTGGCCCTTCCAGTGAGTTTTCATAAATCAGGACATGGCACAGCCAAACCCATGGGCTCATTGGACGCGGTAATGACGCCAAAGGTCAGGAGGAGGTCAGGCCCGTGCGCACCGCCTCGCCATGCGAAGAGTCAGTAGGGCGATTGTGGGGAGGTGTTATTGTTTCAGCGGGTGCAGTGGAGGGTGGATCAACCAGCCAGACCTGGTAAATTGTGGCTTACAGTTTGTTATTGAGCTTCTAAAAAAAGAGCGTCCCTGAATCGGTCCTGATTCCAGACCTGCAGCAGCACGATGACTCCGGTGATACTGATGTCCCTGGTCCTCATGGGAGCCCTGGCCCAGCACGGGACCGAGTGGACGTACTCAGGTAAGCCCCCACCCCAGGGCCTGCGGGGCCCCTTGTTACCCTCATGTGGAGAGGGGCATGCCCTCCTTCCGAGGACCAGAAGCGAGGCCGATCACATACAACCAACCATGTGCCGTCCCCAAGCTGGGCTCTGCCCATCGCCGGCTCCATGCCTCGGGCGCACAGAGGACACACTGAACCTAAACCTTGATTCAGGAAAAAAGGAGCTCGCTTGGCCCTGCCCAGATCCCTGGCCCACCTGCAGCTCTTCTGCTTTGAAGCCTCGTCAGCCCACGGGGCGGGCGTGGGAGCCTGCTCCTGGCTTCTGGCTGCAGGCACCGGCTTTCTTGGTCTGTGAGTGGAAAATAAAGCCGCCAGAAAGGGCTGCCTGCAGTCTTGCGGAGGGTGTGCGGGTGTGGGGACGCCTTCCTCTCAGCAGTTTCACACTGCGTGGTTTACACAGAACAACACGACACGTTGGGAACCCGGGGACCTTTAGGTGACCTCCAGCTGCCCTCCCTCGGTGGCCACACCCCTGCTGACCCTTGAATCTACACTTCACTGAAACCTGACTTTCAAATGTAAAATCAAAGCCCTTGGTGTTGAGCCCACATGTGAGCCAAAGACAGGACCCCCACGTCTGTGGGGTTCGGACGCGAAGCACCCCTTCCACATGGCAATGCAGAGTGCCTGCCTCCCTTTACCCCCATCTATTCTGAGCAAACCCTGCGTGGAGCCCACTCTCTGCACAGCTCCCTCCCCGCCCCCCCCCCCCCCCCAGTCACAGGGGGAAGCACATTCAGGGTGGGTGTGTGTCCTGCTAAGTCTAGGGTAACAGGGTTAGAGACATCTCAGGGGGGCTCAGGAAGCCCAGCTCCCGGGGCCGGACGGCCAGCGCTGGCCACACGCTCTGCTCTGGAGCAGAGTGACCCCACACGAGGCCACCGGCCCACTGGCGCTGGGACGAGGCCAAGGAAGAGAGAGGAGCCGACAGGGCAGGCCCTGTCCTCCCCAACTCAGCTGGCCTCTGGGACTGTGGGCCTTCTGGGAAGCCACCAAGGGCCTGGGACTTGGGGGCAGCTACTGCGAGTACCCTCAGGGAATATTTGACACCCACGCACACCCTCCACATTGGCAGGGCCTGGGCCAAGCCTTCTGATCTGGACTGTCTTCGGGAAATTTGGCCTGATCCTGGGGTCTGCCTCTAGGAACGAATTGTTTAAAAGCTGGTTTGTATATTAAATAGAAAAGAGCAGAACTGACTTTTCTATTGCAAAACCAAGCGTCCCTGAGAGGCCCCAAATACAAACGTCTTCCTTAAAACAAGCTGCACCCATACCATGTGGCTGTGCCCCAGCAGAGAGCAGAGCTTGCGTCCCAGTTGCAGGCGGGTGAGACCAGGCCCCACAGCTATTCGGAGGCCACCCCTCTCTCCACTATGGTTAGTGAGAAAGAGAAATTTCCTTACTTCGATGTGTTTTTTACACTAATCATTTGCTCATCTTTGAACACGGAGCTTCCTTGCTTGTCCTGAATCCGTAGGTGTAGGCACCCAGGTGGGAACCAACTGAAAGGGGCTGGAGGGAGGAAAGCAGGTGGCGGGTCCTGCCCTCCTGCCATCCCTGCCTTTGGTGGGGCGGGGGGCGTGACACTGTTAGGGTCTGGGAAGGGAACTGTGCCCCTGAAAGCAGCACAGTGGTGCTAAGCCCAAGGGGCGCTAGTGCATTTATCAGCTGAGTGACCCAAAGGGAAACTGAAGCTCTGTGGTCAAAACTTTGATCATTTTCAAAATGCTAAGTCATGCTCCCTGGGCAGGGGGTTGCAACAGCAACACTGGGTGCCTGTGCCCATGCTCGACACCAGGGTGCGTGCAGCTGATTTAGATGCTCCTCCCGCCTTCTTCTGAGGCCCTGCTTCTGCTTTCTAGAAGGCAGAACTCTGGCCTTGGCCTGGCCACTGCACTGCACTCCCTGCTCTGGGCAGGCACTGCTGTGAGTTGCAGGCTCTGGCTGGAGCCCTGAGGGAGGTGCCCCAGGGACGGCTCTGCCTGGCGTCACCTCGAGCTGTGACCCCCTTGGCTCTCTCCTGTCTCAGAGGGGGCACTGGATGAGGAGCACTGGCCCAGGGAGTACCCCGCCTGCGGGGGGAAGAGACAGTCGCCCATCAACCTGCAGAGGAAGAAGGTGCAGTACAACCCCTCCCTGAAAGCTCTGAACCTGACCGGCTACGAGGCCCAGGGGGGCGAGTTCCCCATGACCAACAATGGCCACACAGGTAAGGGCTGGGTGGGTGGTCAGCCCGGGGTCTGGAGCACAGCTGGGGCGCTAGAGGGCTGAGCAGCGCTAAGGCCCTGAAACGAGGAGGCTCTTCAGAAGCTGTGCAGCCTCTGTCCTCGGGCTCAGTCCCCTGCTGGCTCCTTCAGTCCCCATTAGCCTCTCCTGAGCTCATGCAGACCCAGCCAGAGTCAAATTCAGGCGACCGTGGCAAAACTGCGGAAGCCACAGGACCGACCCACCTGGGTGCTCTGCTGACCTGCGCCCCATCTGATCTATGTTTTCTCTATTGAGTCTGATTGGCTCAAAGCGCCCAACAGGTAGGCCCAGTGTTTCTCAGAGGTTTCAAGCCACTCTTGTCCTCTGTTCCCTCCTAGAAAGGGGGGAAGGTTGGGCAGGAAAAACAAGGTCTTTTGACAACCCCCACTTCAGAAGGCTGGGCGGGGCAACTGTCAAATCCGCGCTTTATGTTTGCAGAACATTGTGGACGCCAGAAGCCAGTCCCTTTGGGGTCCCCAGCCCAACCTCCAGCATATCAAACAGAATATACTCACAGCTCACATCACTCATATTTTTTCATGTATTTTGAAAGATTATTATAATTTAGCCTTTGAGATTATTTGGCTACTCTTTACAACTGGCTATATGTTTTCAGCCAGTTCCATGCACATTCAGGAATTCTCTTGAAGGAAAAAAAACTTAATCTACAGATTTTCAAATCTAATGACATTTTGATGAATACCAAGTTTAACAATAAAGTTGACATGATGTAAATAAACATTAATTTTGATTTTGCAGGGTTATTTTAGTATTTTGAAACCTAAGAGACATGTACTTATTTACCTATTTATATAATATATAATACACATTTTTAATAGACTTTTCTTTTTAAAGATTTTATTTATTTATTTTGAGAGAGAGGGGAAGGGAGAGAGAAAGAGAGGGAGAGAAACATCGATCAGTTGCCTCTCAAACATGCCTGACCAGAGACTGAACCTGCAACCCAGGCATGAGGCCTGACTGGGAATCAAACCAGTGACCTTTCGCTTCACAGGATGAAGCCCAACCCACTGATCCACACTGATCAGGACAATAGACTTTGTTTTTCAGAGCAGTGTTAGGTTCATAGCAAAATTGAGCTGAAAGTACAGCAATCTCTCAACTACTCCTTGCACGTGTGGCTTATCCCATTATGAACATGACTCACCAAAATGGTACCTTTTTCTTTTTTTTTAACCAAGGCTGAGCCTGCGTTGGCACCTCATAATCACCCAAAATTCCTAGTTTACCTTAGGGTTCACTCCTGGTGTTGCACATTCTCGGGCTGGACATGTATAATAACATGTGTTCATCACCATAATGTCATCGAGTACTTTCACTGCCCTGATTATTCTCTGCGCTCTGGCGATTCATCTCCCCTTCCACCCCCGCCCCGGGCAACCACTATCTTTCTACTGCCTCTATAGTTTGGCCTTTTCCAGAATGTCATAGAGTTGGAATCACATAGTATGTAGCTTTTCAGATGGGCTTCTTTCACTTAGCAATGTGCATTTAAGGTTCCTCTGTGCCTTTTCATGGCTTGATAGCTCATTTCTTTTGAGCGTTAAATAGTATTCCATTGCTTGGATGTTCCATAGTTCATTTATTCATCACCTTCCCAAGGACATCTTGGTTGCTTCCATGCTTTGGTGATTATGAATAAAGCTGCTATAAACATCCATGTATAGGATTTTGTGCGGACCTACGTTTTCAGCTCCTTTGGGTAAATATCAGGGAGTGTGACTGCTGGATCGTATGGTGAGGGTATGTTAGTTTTGTATGAAACTGTGAAACTGTCTTCTAAAGTGGCTGCACTGCGTTGCATTCCCTCCAGCACTGACTGAGGTTCCTGCTGCTCCACGTCCTCACCCACATTTGGGGTTGTCAGCGTTCTGGATTTTGCATAACAGGTGTGCAGTGGTCGCTCATTGATGTTTTAGTTTGTATTCCCCGGATGACATGTGCTGTGTGAAGCATCATTTCACATGCTTGTTTGCCATCTGTGTATCTGTTTTGGTGAGGTGTCTGGTAAGGTCTCTGGGCCATTTTCTAATTAGGTTGGTTGTTTTCTTATTGTTGAGTTGTTAAGAGCTCATTTTATATTCTAGATGACAGCTCTTTTTCAGATGCGTAGTTTGCAAATATTTTCTCCCAACTTGTGCTTGTCTTCTGATTTTTTTGATACAGGTCTTTGCAGAAGTGTTAAATTTTAGTGAAGTCCAACTTATCAATTATTTCTTTCATTAATTAATATATGATTAATGTTGTATTTAAAAAGTCATCACATACCTGTGGTCATCTATGTTTTCTCTGATGTTGTCTTCTACGAGCTGTATAGTTTTGCATTTTACCATTTAGGTCTGTAATCCACTTGGAGTTAATTTTGGTGAAGAGTCTAACGTCTGTGTCTAGAGTCATTCTTTTTCACGTGGACATCCACGGTTTGAACACCATTTGTTGGAGAAACTATCTATGCTCCACTCTGTTGCCTTTGCTCGTTAGCTCAGCAGACTGCATGTCCGTGGGTCTGTTTCTGGGCTCTCCCTTCGGTCCCACTGATGCATGTGTCCGTTCTTCGGACAGCTCCACACTGTCCTGAGCACGCAGCTTCATGGTAGGTCTTGGAGTCAGGGCATGCCAGTGCTCTGACTGTGCTCTTACTCAATATGGAGTTGGCTGTTCTGGGTCTTCTGTCGCTTCATGTGACTTCTAGAATCGGTTGGTTGATGTCCACAAAATTACTTGCTGGGGTTTGAAGTGGGACTTCACTGAGCCTATAGATCAGCTTGAGAAGGACTGACATCTTGACCATGTTGGATCTTCTTATCCAAGAACATGCGATATCCCTCTATTTAGTTCTTTGATTTCTTTTAGATTTTTGTAGTTTTCCTCACATAGCTCTGGTATGTATATTGTTAGATTTCTACCTAAATATTTAATTTTGAGGGTTGCTAATGTGAATAGTATTCTGTTTTTAATTTCAAATTATACTTTATATTTTTGTGTGCCCCACTTTTATTATATTAAATGGACATAAATTACACTTCAATAAAAATAAATTGAAAACACACCCAGATGTTGAGAAAAATTGCTACAAAAGTTGCTTACGCTTATTCTCAATTTCTCTATTTTGTTGTAGACTAGTACCAGTTGGTGGAGCAGTACTGATTAATATATGTATTTTTAATTCCCCCCAATACATATTCATAGACTCCAGGAAAGCTTACGGGCCCGAGGCACTGTAAGGAGACAAACAACACTGTTCTCTGGAGAGGTGCTTTCAGCCCCACTGTGAGTGGGGCTCTCCAAGGGAGGGACCTCGGCTCACTGACTGGTCTGGCCCAGCGCCTGGCTCAGCGCCAGACATGGCGCTTACTCTGAGGAGTAAAGGGAATCAGAATAACCCCAGAGGCCCCGTCTCCTACTCCTGCACCACAGACAAGGACCAAAGCGGCCGGGAGTGGAGAGTGAACCTCTGGTTTCCACACCCACTGGCTGTGGCATTTCGGGGCCTCTTCCTTCCCTCGGGCCAGCAAGCGAGACCTGCCACTTTGTGGTCCCGCCCTGACCTTCTGGGTCAGGGTGGGCAGGTGTGCACCCTGGGAGAGGCGCCTGCCGAGCCCAGCTGACTCAGGGCCTGGTCCCCAGCCCGCCCTGGGGGCCAGCCGCCCCGCCCACGGGTGACCCTGGAGCTCATGCCCCAGGAGCGGGCAAGTGGCCAGGGAGGCCGCCTAGCCAGCAGGCCCGAGCCACCCCGCCCACCGCACCCCTCGCCCTCTCTCACAGTGCAGATCAGCCTGCCGCCCACCATGCGCATGACGGCCTCCGACGGCACCGAGTACGTAGCCCAGCAGATGCACTTCCACTGGGGCGGCGCGTCCTCCGAGATCAGCGGCTCCGAGCACACCATCGACGGCATCAGATATGTGTCAGAGGTACCGTGAGGACCCCGGCCAGGTCCCGTTCCTTCAGGCCCCGTAGTCACTCTTCTTACTCAAACAGCCATGCAGACTTTGTGCAGAGGTGACGCCAGGACCACCAGAGGCCGAGCTGGTTTTCATTCACTCACAACTACTCACTGATCGCTGCTCTGTGCCAGGGTTCAGGCCAGGTCCCCGCTCTCACAGAAGTCACAGCGAGGCAGGAGTACACGCCCCCCACAGCGGGGCAAGCCCTCTTTCCTTGCAGCGGGATTTCTACGTGTTAGATCTTGCAGGTTCCCTCTCCTGCTCGGATCTGTCCTTAGGATGATCACAGGCCCCCAGTGGCCTCACTGGCCAAGGGACCCATGTCCACTCCACAGGGATCTCAGGAGAACCCAGGAGCCTCCTGATGATGGCTCTGTACTCTCCAGCTTGTCCACCTGGAGGGAGGTGGGGTCAGGGAAACACCCTTGAATTGCCATATTCCCAGACTCCATTCATGCTCTTTCCATTCCTGGAGAACTTTCTGGTCTTGACAGATCTCGTAGCCTAGACAAAGGGAGATGGAGGTCAGAGTGGTTTGTGTGGGGCAGCCTGAGGCCTCAATAGAGCATCCTTGTTCTCCTGCCTCGAAAACCTGATGCAGCGAGTCCACAGGAACTGCCCCTGACTTAGCCTCTCTTGCCCCGCCAGATTCACGTCGTGCACTACAATTCTAAGTACAGCAGCTACAACGTCGCCAAGAGTGCCCCGGATGGCCTGGCCGTGCTGGCAGCCCTGGTGGAGGTAGGCTGAGACCCCACACGCACGGGGAGCAGCGGACTGGCGCCCAAGTAGGGCGCCCGGCGTAGGCGAAGGGCCTGCCTTCCTGTCCCTTCTCATCTGCTTCTTAGCTCACGATCCCTGTTCATGCCGACTCGTTGGAAGGTTTACCTTTTTCTAGCCCACATTCCTTCTGTGTTCCCACACTTGGGGACCTTGGGCAAATTTACTTAAAAGAGCTGGATCACAGGAGGGTTGATGGACATCACCTGGCCTGAGGGTACGGGGAAGCCTACAACCCAGCGGGCAAAGCAACAGCTCTGCCTGTCTGCGGAAGTCTGGAGGGCGGGCCTGACAACCGGGGGCACCAAGTGGGCGCTGAATCCGACCCCCTCCCCCCAACAGGTGTTAAGTTGGATGAAATTATCACAAACAACCACATCAGTGTTCTAGAAAGGGACCAGAGGCAAGCAACAAATGCTGGCATTTACTTGTGCAAAATGGCCAGAGTCTGAGTGAGCACAATGGCAGCCTGTGGACCTCTTGCCTGGGGCTGTCGCCACCCCCTCAGCCCAACTCAGGCAGCGAGGCAGGCTGGGCAGGAAAACCGGCCTCCTCACCGCCCCGGGGAAGGGACTGACTGGGTTTGGGCTAGAAGCTGAAAACTCATGGTGGGGGACGCTGACAATAAAAGTAGCAAATGACAGACAGCAGAGGGAAAGCTCGTAGCTCTGAGAGTCTGAGGTTCAGCCTCAGCTGGGGTGCGCGGCACACGGCAGGCTGATCAGGAATGTATCCAAGGGGTTCTGGAGATGAGAGAGCCAGGGAGGAGCTGTAAGCACCCCGAGAGGTGGGGAGTCGAGGGTGAGGCCAATTGGAGAACTGGCTGGACCTGAACGCGCTTCCGAACCCTCGCCCGGATCCGTCCACAGAGGGTGCCGAGCTGAGGGGCGCGGGGCGCTGGAGCACAGTCTCCGCTCAGAGCACGGGCTAGCCCCAGAGTTCTGCAGGCCCTTGGTGGCACCAGGGGCCCAGCTGAAAAATAACACTGACGTGTAAGGACTGAGCAGAGGCAGAACCTCTGGGCTGCGCAACGAGGGAAGCGGAGGCTGGAGTGAAGCACGGGCTGGGCTGGCCAAAGAGCCCCAAGGACTGCTGGCCACAACCAGAAGCCGGGAGAGGCAAGGACGGGGCTCCCACGGAGCCTTCAGAGGGAGCCTGGCCAGGCCGGCACCATGACGTCAGGCTTCCGGCCTCCAGGATGTGAGAGAATAACTTCCTGTTGTTTTAAGAAAAATGAAAACTGAGTAGAGCAGATCTGTTAGCTACCACATGCTGCCGGGGAGTCATATCCTGAGGATGAGCCCGAGGCCAGTTACAAAACAAACAACACACAGAAAAAGCAGAATTCATGTTTGCCGCCATATATTATCTAGCAATGTCCAGTTTTCAACAAAAGAGTTGGGCATGGAAAAGAATAGGAAAATGTGATCCATGTTTAGGAGAAAAAAAAAAGCAGCCAATAGAAATTGACTCTGTGGACTCAGAGTGATTTAGCAGATAGTACTTTTTGTTTGTTTTATCCTTACCTGAGAAAATGCTTATCAATTTTTAGAGGGAGGGGAAGGGAGGGCAGGAAACATTGATGTGAGAAAGAAACAGTTGCCTTTCCTTTGCTCCCTGACCAACTGGGGACTGAACCTGCAACTTAGGCATGTGCCCTGACTGGAAGTCAAACCCATGACCTTGAGGTCTACAGGATGATGCTCCAACCAACTGAGCCACCGACCGGGGCTAGCAGACAATACTTTAAAACAACTGCTGTACCCTGGCTGGTATGGCTTGTGAACCAAAAGGTGGCTGGTTTGATTCCCAATCAGAGCATGTGCCTGGGTTGTGGGTCAGATTCCCAGTTAGGGGCATGTGAGAAGCAACTGACTGATGTTTCTCTCCCTCAATTTCTCCTAAAAATAAAGAAATAAAATCTAAAAAAAATTATTAAAAAATCCCCAACTGTCATAAATGTGTTCAAAGGCTTTAAAGAACTACTTTCAAAGAATTAAAGGAAAATATGATGACAATGATCCAAAAAGAGAAGTCTCAATAAAGAAGCAGAAACTATAAAAATGCACTAAATGGAAGTCTAGAGCTGAAAAGTATAATAAACAAGATGAAAAAAATCACAACATAGGCTCAAAACAGATTTGAGGCAGCAAAAGAAAGAATCAGTGCATTTGAAGGTAGGTCAAATGAGTTATCCCACTTGAAGAACAAAGGGGAAAAGATTGAAGAAAAACAGATATGGCCTTAGAGACTCACGGGGACAAGATCACACATCCCAACAAGGTTGCAATGAGAGTCCCAGGAGCAAAGGGAGAAAGTGGCAGAAAAAAATGAAGAAACAATGGCCCCAAATTCCCCTAATATGATAAAAAGCATCAATTTACCAGTCCAAGAAACTCAGCCAACCCCATGTGTGACAAATACACAGGCACATCACAGTCAAACTGCTGAAAGTGACAAGAGAAAAAGACTGTTATGTACATAGACCGACAGTACAATTAATGGCTGATTTCTCATTAGAAACCAGTTATCAGAAGGCAATGGAATGATCGTCAACCAGGAAGCTGATACCCCACTACACTGCCCTTCAAAAATGAGGCAAAATAAGGAGATTCCCAGCTGAAGAGAAAGGGAGGTAACTGCCAGTAGACCTGTCCTCCAAGAGGCATGACAGGCTATCTTCTGGCTGGAAGGCAGTGACGCTGGACAGCAGCTCAGGTCCACAGAGAGAAGCGAAGCGCGCCAGTTCCAGGGGATCAGTGGGTGGGTACACAGGGCGCCTACGCATGCCATTTTTTGTCTAAATACCCCCATAAGTCAGCGTGAATCAATAATACCGTTGTATTATTTGGGGGGGGGGGTGTGTGTGCGCACACGTGCGCATATGTAATTACAGATGACAAAAGGAGGGGAAGAAATACAGCTATTTGGGAGCTGCTGTATTTTACAATTAAATGTATTAACTACATTAGTATCATCCTAAGTTAAGTTGCATATTGTAATCACTATAGCAACCACTAAGAAAATGACGAGACGTGGCTAGACATTCACTAAAAGGTATTTGTTGAACACAAAAAGCGGCACAGAGGAACCAAATGAGGTCACACATTTAGAAAACAAATAGCAAATGGCAGCTATAAATCCTAACATCGGAGTTTATGCACAGCGGAAGGAGACTGGGTCAACCCCATGGACTGAAAAGAACCATTAAAAATAGACCTTTGTTTACCAAAGCAACTTTTCTGACTTTTGAAAAGTCAATACTCCAACACGAAATGAAGAGAGATCTGGCTGCAGGAGGGATGGGAGCAGTCAAGTCCTGACAGGGTCCCCGGGGATATTTTACCAGTGACCTTGGGCCACTCCCTGGGGATATCCCTAGTCATGAAGAAGTTGCCAAAAGGCATCAGAGCCTGTCTCCCTGGAAGAGACTGGAGGCCAGGCGGTCGGTGGCAAAGACCAGCCAGACCGTCCCCCAGCACGACCCGGGCTGCCTCCTGCCCGCCATCGCGGCTCTGCCCAGCCTGCCCACCGACAGACAGATGGAGCAGCGGGGGCGGGCCGGCCGCCCTTCCTGACTCAGGCTGTGCTCTGTTCCCCTGCAGGTCAAGGAGTATGCCGAAAACACCTACTACAGCAACTTCATTTCTCACCTGAAGAACATCAGGCATCCAGGTAAGGGAAGCCAGCAGCGGCTGCAGGACGGGGGAGGAATGGGCGCGAGGTGGGGCCAGGGACAGGGGGGTGGCGCTGCTGGGCAGGCGGGCAGATAAGTGCTGCCAGGGGCGTGCCGCCCTCCCTGGGCGAGGCCTCTTTGCTGAGCGGTTCCTGCTCTGGGCTCAGGCCTGAACGCCCCTGAGGAACCTGTTCATAAACTCTGCCCGTCGGTTCCCACGCTGGGACTTCCGGGTGGCGAGAGTCACCTTAAGCCACTCTCACCTCTGGCCCCCACCGGTATGATGATCCAGGTCCCTAGAGAGAGAGGTCCCCTCAGCTTCAAGCTGAGAAGAGACGCAACACTGAAGCCTGACGGCATCCCGCCTGGACACAGTTCTTGCCAGAGGCATCGCCTACGCCCCGGTCAGCCCTTGACCTGGAGCGATAACCATATCAGCGGTGAGGCCTTGGTTTTGGGCCTCTCACTTTGGCCACATGGCCCAGACTCCAGTTCCCTGGCTTCTTGTCCCCTCCCCCACTTCTCCTGACCTCCAGTCCACGGGCCTCCACATTCTCACGATGAGTCATGCCTCACGTCTCTCATCTCTCTTTACGTAGCTTAGCTTCCATGGGCCATCAGTCTGATGAGCCTGGGCCAAAGCCCTCGCCCCTCCATCCGCTCACAGGCTCGCCTGCCAAAGCCCAAGACCGGCTCCCAGCCTGTAGCCAGTGGCTGACGTGGCTGGACAGAAACACAGACATCTACCTGCTCTTATTTTTATTTGTAACTACAAATATGGACAGGTACTAACACTGCCTGAAAATCTTAAAATACAGCACTACTCTGGGCATTTGCTTTTCCCTTCTCTCCCAAAGCCCTACCCCATCCCACCCTGGCCTCAGCTTCTCCTTGAGGCAGGTGCCTGCCTTGCCTCCTCGTCAGGAGATTCATCTTCTTAGCCCGCCTGCCCCGACCAAACCCCAGGCCCCAACCTCTGCAACCGGGGACAGGCCCCTGACCTTGCCTGACACCGTCCTCCTGTGAGCAACTTTCATTCTCAGGGCCTGGTCTCCAGCCCCCCCCCCCACTCCCCCGCCCCGCATCTCACCACTGATTGCTTATCCTTCAGCAGGTCATTCCGCTCAAACACCTCTCACCTCAAAACACACGCAAACAAAAGTGTCTCTCGACCCCACCACTCCCCCCGGCCCCGGAACCATTTCTAGCTCCCCTTGAAAGAGCTGACAGTTCTGGTCCCTGTCTCCCCCACCCTCGGTGGCCCCACCACTCCACGGAGCCTTCCTGGTCTCCCCTGCGGTCAGATCGCCTGGCCAGTTTCCTTCCCTTCTCTCTGTCGACCTTAAACAATGATCCATTTACTCGGGCTCTTCTTCTTGCCCCGCCCCTGCCCCCAGCACAGCTCTTTTTCGGGCTCCGCTCTGATGCTGGGGGGGCCCCACCCTATGTTTCCTCGTGACCTCAGTCAGTCCTATGGCCTGAATTGCCACCTCTGAGCTATGGACTCCAAAAATCAGTATCTGGTCCCCCACGCAGCGATGGCATCAGGCGGGCCGGGGGAGGCCAGGGGGACCCATCTGGCTGATTTGCTGACCGTGAACAAAGCCAGCAGGAAAACCCACCGGCCTGTAGGATAATGATGACATTACCTGGAATCCATGGACCTCAAATAATCTGTTTCTACTAGTTGACCCTGATCCATTGCCTCCTCCAATTCAATAACTCCTGCTTCTGATCCCTACTACCCACAACCCTGGCCTCTTTCTGAGCTCTGCTTCCTTTATCCAATGCTTATTTGGTATTGCCATATAGACCTAAATAAAGCTTGACTTAGCCAAAACATAATTCTGAATCCCCATCTCTTTCCAGGCTTGTTTCTAAATGACTTTCTCACTTCAGCAAAGAGCGTCCTCCATCCCATTGTCCGAGCCCCAGATCCTGAAATCATTCTTGATTTTCCTCTTTCCATGACTCCAACGTCCAAATCAAGAGCTGTGCCTATTGTTTTTACCTCTCTGCTTACAGTTCTTTTGGGTATATACCCAGAAGTGGAGTGGCTGGGTCATTCGGTAATTCTAAGTTTAATTTTTTTAAGGAACTGCCCTGTTGCCATAGCAACTGCGCTGTGGCTCTGGAATTCTTGACTCACTTAAATAAATTAGCTTTACGAAGCTAAATCTATGCAACAGAGCCCTTCAGAAGGTTGTATCTCGAATCTTTCCAATAACAATAGATCAGAAATCTTTTGCTTACTCATAGGATTTGCACTACTATACTTCCCAGCTTTGGTTTAACAAGCCTATTTATGTCTGTATCAAAACTGTATCTTCTTTGCTCTTAAGAAATGCAAAAGTGTTCGGAGAAAGTGAAGCAAAATTCAACTCAACTTCCTGTTCCTTTGCTAGCCTCACGCTGAGCTCAGACTGCCATGAACAACAGGGAACTTTCCAGATGCAGCGATGGCGGGGGCGGGGAGAGCTGCAGACACCTGTGGCCCCCCTCTCCCATCCCCTGCCTGTGCCCAGGCTCAGCTCCCAATGCGCGTGGCAGGAGCAGCTTAGGACCAGAGGCCTGAGCCTGGACCCCGGCTTGGTTCTCATTCCGCCTTTCTAATCTCTATCCCCCCACTTTTCAAGGAGTCCAAACCAAGGAATTTTGGTCCTTCAAGGACACCTACCCAGAAGCCTCTGGGAGTCATAATCAATTTCGTTCATTTATCCTAAGATGTACCCTTGGCCTAACAATGACAACAATGATGACGATGACCAATACTTTGCTGAGTGCTGGTTCCACGCCAGCACTTTATAAAACACACCCCTCCCCCCCCCCCCCCCGTTACCCTCACAGCAGCCCTGCTGACCCTCCCGTCGTCGCAGGTGAGGATGGAGCCCTGGAGGATTGGGCGCCTGGCCAGGGCCACTCAGCCAGGAGGCAGTGGCTGAGCAGGTCCCTCCCCAGAGTCTTCACTCTTCCCCTTCCAGGGAGCAGGAAGCTGGGGCAATGTGTCCCAGCCAGCAGCGACTATGTTCTTCCACTTCCAAAAGATTTGGGGGTGCTCTCCCCAAGGGGCAGCTGCAGTCCCTAACACTTCTTAACCTGATGTCCCTTCTGTTAGGACAAAGCACAGTTCTGAGCGGCCTTGACATTCAGGACATGCTTCCTGAAAACCTCTACCACTACTACAGCTACCAGGGCTCACTCACCACTCCTCCCTGTACTGAGAACGTGCAGTGGTTCCTGTTGGCAGACACCGTCCGCCTCTCCAGGGCACAGGTAATGCATCGCTCCCCCAAAGCCTCCCCTTTCACTGTCCTGTTAACGGGAGTGCTCGCCACATCCCGCCTAACGCCAACACCTGGGCCCCCAGGGTGCCTTCCGTGGGCAGGGCTGCTGCGCCGCACCTGTGCTGCCGTGGGGATCTCACTAGCGCCGCACAGCACATCGAATGGCTTTAATAGCGTCTTAGATACAGTTCAAGAAAGAATTAGTACACTGGAAGACAGAGCTGAGAAAATTGTCTAAAATGCAGCACAAAAAGAAAAAGTGATGAAAATATGAAAAAGAAGTAAAAAAAGGGAATATAGTGTAGAGATCTAACAAATATTTGGTTGAAATTCTAGTAGAAGAAACATAGCATAGAAAAAAGGTATGATTTGAGAAATACTGGCTGACAAATCTTCCGAGGAGTTGAAAGACACCAAATCATATATTCAGTAAACCCAAGGAGTCAGTGTAAATTTTAAAAAACACATTAAACATATCACAGTGAAACCACAAAAAAAAAAGTTTATAAAACAGCCAGAAAGAAAAAAAAACAGGCTATTTTTAATGATATCATCTTTATCATTAAAAGATAATCTGTTTTTTCTCTGTTGCTGTGTTGAGTCAACTGAGAATTGATTCAACACAGCAACAGTGAACATCAGAAGGCAGTGAAATCATATTTTTAAAGCACCAAGAGAAATGAGTAGTGGATCTAGAATTATACATGCAGCAAAAATGCCTTTCAAGGATGTAGACAAAATACAGATATTTTGAGAAAACTAAAAATTGAGTTTGCTACTTGGTAGGTCTGTTTACTTCTTTCTCTCCTTTCTACTGTTGACCAAATACTCATAGAAAAAGATTAAAAGAGATTTTTTTGGAAGAAGAAATGGATGAATATCCCATGCCTGACGTATCTTACCGAAGAACCTCCTCTGGTCTTGAGATCTCCCAGCTGCTTTATCCAAGTTACATAACGCCAAGATCTAGGTCAATTTCTAACAGAACTCTTTCAAATCACCAAGTGTCTCTTCCTCTCCATCATTCACATCTTGTTGCCTACAGATTAGGAAGCTTGAGAACTCCTTATTGGACTACCAGAACAAGGTAATCCGCAACGACTACCGCAGGACCCAGCCCCTGAACAACAGAGTGGTGGAAGCCAACTTCATGTATCACCGTAACCCTCGTAAGATCAACTCATTCATTTTTTGCAATTTGTTGACTCCTGTTTTCTTCCTTCTCTGGTGGACCTCTCTCTTCTGGCAGCAGAAAGGGAAGGAGGGTCATGTCAGCAGTAGGAGGCCACACGGACCGATCTGTACAGGGCTCAGCAAAGGGGATGGCTCACGCTCCCAGTCCAGGCCGCGATGCTAGTGAGTGGGACAGAGGAGGCAACGAGGAGGGATGACCGTGTGATTTACTACCTCCCTGGTCCTGGCCAAAGACAGGAGGAGAAGCAAGAGGTCAGCAATGTCCAGAAATTCCCATATGAGTGTAGGCTCAAGTTTACCTTATTTAACCCAACTCAAATGATTTCCCACACACCTTTATCTTGGTCTGTAGCCCAAGCTCATCTCAACTCCTCCTATGCATTCCTTCAAGGTAGGGCTAACCAGACCATGTACTGTGAACCACGCTTTCTTGGGGATCAAGCCCTGACAGCAGGGCGCCGGATGTAGGTATAGGTGGTCCCATGTCCCCTGGAATCGCTCGCCACTGGGATAGGCTCCAACTGTGGTCTTGGCTCACCTGATGTCTGTGGTTGTAAGGATAGAAATATTCTCCCATCTTTTTTTTTGTCTGCTTCTGTGTCTTTACAATCTGTTCCTATTTACCATTCCTGACACCTTTACATCCTCTAACACAATGGAATTGGTCTCCAATCAGTGTGTCCCCACCTTCATATGTCTCTTTCGAGATTTAAAAATCTCCATACATACTCCCCCTCCCCCAGTAAAGGCCCACTGTGCTTTTCTCCCCATTCCCGTCCTGGTTCCTTTATTGTTTTCCCTCTGCATCAGTTTGCTCCTCCGGTGCAATACTAAGAAAAATACGATGCCAGCTATAATTATAATTTCACCATATTGGTGATGACCAGAGGGAAAGGGGGGGAGGCGGAAAAGAGTAAAGGGGGATAAATGGGGATGGAAGGGGACTGACTTGGGGTCGTGAACACACAACACAATATACAGATGGTGTGTTATAGAACTGTACCCCTGAAACCTAGACAATTTTATTAACCAACATCACCCCAATAAATTCAACTTAGAAATTTCCCCATATCGTACAATATACGATATTAACAGTAACGATTTCTTTTTCTAAAGCACGGCAGCTTCCTAAGCAGTCCCGTTGCCAGCAGACTAGCCAGAGGGACTTGGCCTTGACCTGCCTTCTTGTTCTAGTCTGGCTATGCTCCCTGCTTTCCCAGAGGAAATGCACAGATTGCACGGTGTCCCATATGCCACACCTCACGTGCTTTTTCTGCTTGGCGATAGCGGGTGTGGGCATCTCTCCAATTCACTCTCACAAAGGAGCTCAGATGTTCCAGATCCTGGTACCCCTTAGACCACAGTGCTCTGTGCGGCTGTTTGCCCATAGGTCCACTGTGGGCCTTCCGAGTGTTACTGTTTGGGATTGTTACTGTTACTCCCAGGAGACAGCAAGAGGGCTCCTTCCCCCACCCCAACCAAAGGATCAGAATGACCCTTTGCTGATAAGAGAAGAGAGCGCTTGGCATCACCCCCTCCACCTGCCTGCCCTCAGGCCCAGGCTTCTAGGTTCCAGGTGAGCCTGTTGAGTGACTCACATGAGAGCTCACCGTTCCATATCTCAGGTCTGTAACACGACCAACCCGTCAGCAAGGCATGACCTGAGGAGCCAAGGTCAGTTACAAAGTCGAGACAAGGGTCAAATACAGACCTCCTGCAATTTATTTATTAGAAAATACCCATGTATTCTAAGGTAAGGAAGGGCCACTGAGCTTCACGTGAGAAACTGAGGTGCAAGAGTAGACCCCCTGCGACATGTCACCCCTGGATTTTGGGCGCTTGTGAGCCCAAATGCAGACACAGTGAGGATGCGCGGAAGCCAGTTGGATGGAAGCACGGGCTTGCAGAGGAGTCAAAGACATGTCCTTGAACTCACGCGTAGGGGTGGATGCCTGGCTGTCCCATGTTCTCTCATCATGGGGACCTCCCAAGTTGTGACCTCTTTCTATGAACTCTTCTTTTCATAGAACATTTTCTAGGCTCCGAGCTCCAGTTTTACCTACGCAAGATCGAGAGTAACCTCGAATACTTGAGGAGATACATCGAACAGAAGAGGGCAAAGAGAAAAAGCAAGTATGACTGAGCGGGCAGCGGGAGCTGGTGCAGGGAGCGGGGCCCGCCCCTGAGCCCACGCCCTGCCCTGGCTCCGAGGACTGTTTCCTGGATCGTACCACTCCCCCGGAGGCACCTGCTGAATTTCTGATTAAAACAGCGGAAATCATCATCCACGAAAGGAAGTGATATGATTAAAATGTAAGAGAAGGGATTTAGTTAGACACCACTCATGGAAATGGACTGGAATACACATTTAAAGGGTTAACTATCCTCCTGTGAAATCATGCATGTTGATCTTTCTAAATTATCAGCCAGCCCAGACTTCCCTGTAGCATTTAGAGGTAATAAATAACTTTAGAAATAGGCCATTTGAAAATTTCTCTTTTTCTTCCTTTGTAACATTTCAAATATCCCTACCCCAGGGGCCTCGGGGGACGGGACAGAGATCAAGCTGGGAGGGATTGCCAGGACGAAGAGTAAGGAAAAGGAAGGCGCCCCGGCCAGCTGGCTCAGCTGTTGGAGTGTCACCCTGTCCTTCTCAACACTGTTAGCCCCGCCCAGGGCACATGCCTACGTCGTGGGTTCAGTCCCCAGTCAGGGCACCTACGGGAGGCAACTGATGGATGTTTCTGTCTCTTCCTTCCCCTCTCTCTAAAATCAGTACACATGTCCTTGGGTGAGGGTCACAAAGTAAAAAGGAAAGAGACTTGTACTTGGGAACCGGTCGGTGGGGAGGTTGCAGCAGCGATCACGCGGCCAGGCCCCGGGAGTCAGAGGGGAGAGCGAGGAGCAGCTCCTGCAGAGGCGGGGCCGGGCAGGGTCGTGCTCCGTGGTGGGAGGTGGAGCGCGCCGGCTGGCCTCGTCCTCACGCACTAGACCCAGGTGCAGGCGCGGGTTCTGCCACTTGCTACTCTGTCCCTGTCCGGGGCCCTGAGGGCGCAGGGGCCTTGGGCCTGCTCCCAGGCTCCTGCTGGAGACCCCTGGAGATAGATTAAAGGAGGTGAGTCCCCCTGCTGGGAAGGACAAAGAGCACAGGTACTCAGGAGGGGTCCAAGAAAATGGCTGTCCAGCCTGTAACCCTGGAGGGTTAAACAAAGTTCTATTAAAATGTTAGAACTTTTTAGTAAATGTTAGCCCATTGTGCTTGCTCATTACAACCCTCTGAAATAACACGGAGTTGTAAGTTTTGTGAATGTCTCACCATAGAGAATTGGTTTGGAGGTGCGGCTGGCATGAATGAGAGTGTGGGTGTATACAGAGAGGTCTGGAAGGTTCCACACCAAGGATTAACACGATCATTTTCCAAGGGGGTTAGATTATGATTTTTCTGATAAAAAAACACTGCTTCTGTAAAAAAGAAAAAAAAGAAAAAATATAATAAAACAGAAGAAACAATAAAGGAAAAAGGTCTACAATCTAACATTTCAAATTTTCACCTTTTTGTAGTCAATTATATTAGTTCCATTTGTTTTAATTTTATTGAAAGCCTGAAAAATGAAAGTTTCCAATCATTAATTGACATTTTTATAATTTTTATGGAAATTGTAACTATGTTTAATTGTGCTATTACTGTTTCTGATTTTAACTTTTCCCTATTACAACACAGACAGAAGTAGGAATTTGGATAAATTTAGTTCAAACGTGAAAACAAACAAAACCACTCATGAAAAATAATGAGAAGACTTAAGTGATACTGACCTGGGGCTAATATTATTTCCCTCCCATTGTCATTGTGAACACTTCTCTAACTAAATTGCTGAAGTCAATTTTGATTTCCAGAAGTTTCCTCCCAGGAGATGCAGAGGGGGAGGGGGTGGGGCACATCCTCCGTGAGAACAGAATCTTTTCTTTAAAGCGCAGGCAGAGCACATGCCTGGTGTCTGCAGGAAGAAAGCCAAGGGCTGCGGGAGCAGAGCTGGGGAAGACCCCCAGCGGCCCCAAATGCCTATGTTCCGAGGCGTGAGAAAAGGTTTGAGAGACAAAATATTCCTCAGAGACGCCCATCAGCTGTTCCGTGGGGCTCTTGGTGGGTGTTCGTCTCACCAGCCTCTGAAATCTCCCCAAAGGCCTTCGGCATCGGTGCCCTTCTGTGAAAACCTCACAGAGATTTCCCAGAGGACAGACCTGCGGAAGGGCTGGGCTGCCGGCCGCGTTTGTAGGGAAGCTGCTGCCCTCTGATGGCCGCTGTGAGGATGGCGGGGCCTGTGCCCCGTAGACCTAAGATCCATCCATCTCCCCTCCCATTTTTCATATTGGTAAACTGAGGTACACAGGAGGACCTATAACGGTCTCGCGATCAGTTACAGGCACATCAGGGACAAAGAGCAGAGTGTGTGGCCCCGGACGGGTCTTTCTCACCCAGTAACCCCTGGGGCTGCACTGGGCTACGGCCCCTCTGGCCTCCGGTCCTGCTTTGGAAGCCTAAGCGCCTTCTCGCCTGGGTGGTAAATCCTAACCCCTCCTCTGCCCTCTTGGTACCAGGGCCTGAGCCCCCAGCCCCAGCTGCACGGCCACGCTGGCCATTCGTGCCCCGTCTCGAGCCCAGCTGACACCTGCCTGCAGAGGGAAGCAGGACTGGCTCCCCCAACCCTGAACCTCACAAAGGGGACGTGGGGGAGCGGACACTGAGTTCTTCCAGGGGCAGCTGCTGCTCAGAAAGAAGAGGGCAGGTGCTGGAGAGAAGCAGAGAAGACTTGGGCCCCAGATGGGGGTCCGCGGGGCCAAGGCGGACGGGCGAGGAGAGCTGGCAACCGCCTCCCCGGGCTGTACGTCCCGCCCTTGGCCCCCCGAGGAACTCCCGCTGGCCTCGATCGAGCGGATTTTGTTGCATTTCTGTTCTTCACAAACACACAACCTCCAAATAAGACACAACACACTTTTTATTTAGCCTGAACCTCAGAAGCAAGCAGAGAGGCTGGAGGGCCTGATATTGCCAGCGCCCTGTTACAGCTGAGGACGCTGGGACCAGAGAGGGCGCTCCGACCCCCAGCCTCTTGGCGGGGAAGCGGGAACTCAGCTCCAAGTCCTGGGCTCCCACCCCCTGTTCCTGGGGACTGGCCTAGGGGACAAGGCAGCAAGAGGCATTATCAGGCGCATTTCCCAGGACGCAGCCCCTAAGCCTCAGATCCACCAAGGAAGACCCTTGGGCTGAATTGTAGGGTGTTGGGACCCCAGCATTGTCCAAATGCCCCATCAGCCTACTCAAGAGTCCCCCACCCCACCCCCCACTCATAACAGCACAATGGGCTCCCGTGGGTGGAAGCTGGGAGTGGGGAGCCCCTGACCGCTGCCATGGGCTGCCCAAGAGTGGACCCTCTTTCAGTGGGGACGTGAGAAAGGCCTGCTCACGCATGACTTTTTTAGGGGCAGATGAGGTGGCTGACCAGCCATCACTAGGCCCTGGATCAAAAAAACCAGAAGGGACCTCTAACCCTTGTCAAGAACAAAAAGACCCAGCATTCACAGAGGGCACCCCCAAAGCAGCACCCCACTCCCCACGTGCAAGAACAGGGGTGCCATGGGCTGCTCACTGTCACCTCTCTGCACCTGGTGAGCTCCGCTCCATCCTCCGGGACACAGAATCCCCACCCACAAGACAGCCAGGGCCCCCATGCGATGCATATTCAAGAACGAGGAACCGGGTGCGGGGAGTCACGTGAGCGGCCCCAGGTGCGGCCGGTGCCGAGGAGCAGAGTGCGACCTAGAACCCAGGGCTCCCGTCTCTGAGCCCAGGACCCCGACCCCATCCCTGTCTCAGGGACACCCCTGGGCTCCCGACGGCAGTTGGCCCTCTTGCTGCTCCACCAGCTTCTCTTTGAAAATGCAAACACTCCGGGAAAGGCCGAGGATTAGGTCACTGCCAGTCATTTGAATCTTGGTGTGAATCAAACACCACAAGCACATAAACATCTGCAGAGAGTCGAGGCCCCTGCGTAGGGTGGGACCCCAGAGGGAAAACCTCCAGCCAGAGGGTGGGCACCGGGGAAAAGGAGGGAGCGGGGAAAGCCAGGTCTCAGCCCCGGAACTGGGCACAGCTGGGCCGCACCCGGTCGCCGGGCTTACGGCTCAAATTCACATCACCTGCGTGTTACAAAACACAAACACTTTAAAAACTGATGGGGCGCGGGAGCTGAACAACAAAAACCTGGACTGAAAACTCACTGGCACCTCCTGGTGCCTGAAAGGAGCAAACATAGCAGTATTGTGGGCAGATAATTGAATATGGCAGGAATATTAGATGATAGGGATTATTTAAAATTTTTGCATGTGAAATAAAGGTATTGTACAAAAACATGACTATTTTAGCGAACACAGGGAGGAGAAAGAAATAGGGGAAATGTGTAAGTCCTTTTTGAGACTCATCACAGGGACAGGGCTAAGTGCCTGAGGAGGTCGAGCCTTCCCAGACATGAGGGTGAGGAGGGGACTGTCGCAGGTGGAAGCGGGAGCCAGGAACGCAGCCTGGGACCCTCATATTGGTCACATCCTGTCCCCCCACAGGGGAGCGAAGCCAGGCAAACCAGCAGGAGCCCCGTCCCGTCCACTGTGGCTCCTAACCTGTTCCGCTCAGAGACCAAAGCCCGGAACCTGAGCGCAGGTGGCTGGCACCCACGGGCGGAGTGCGCAGACAGCCCGCGGTGCCCGGGAGAGGTTTCAAAGCAATGGCTTTTCCTCGTCAAGCTCCCATCAGGATGATAGGAACAAGGTCAAACACGTTGTTGATCAGTGGGGCTCCCCGCCTGCAGCAAGGCCACGCCCTAGGGACAGTCTCTGGGGACAGAAGGTGGCCGAGGAGGCAGGATCTCTTTGGATATAGAAAACACTACAAACCAAAGGACAAGGGGAGTGTGACGTCTGAGCCCACCGTGATGGAGGTGTGACAGGGAGTCTAGGACAGGACGTCGGGATGGGGCGAAGGCAGAGATGAGGACCAGGGCAGGAAGGCTGGGGACGCGAGCAGGGAGCACGTTTCACGGGGCCAGCCGCCCACGACAGCCAGCGTGAGCCCTGAACATGCAGCATGTGCGCCGGGCCAACCAGTGCGCAAAGCGCCTGCAAGGGGCCCAGTGTGGGCTCCCGGGAGGAGAGGCCTAGGCAAGGACTCCAGGGCCAGCCGTTCACTTGGAAACGGAAGAGCACATGGGTCCAGGGGTGGATAAGTGAGACTGGGAGGAGAAAGAAGCCAACTCAGGGGGTGTACGGAGCCAGCTACCGGCAGGCAGAGTGACGGGGGAACGTGCAGAACACACTCGGCCTGAGCCTGCGCGAGGGCCGAGGGCCCTGGGCACCCGCACGACAGCTCACGGGCCAGAGGAGCGGGCGGCTGCGGGGGAGGCCCCCCCCGCAGCACCTCGGCTCTTGCCT